CTTTGATAATATATTGAGCATTTTGAGCTTTAATATGCTGGGATGTGAGTGTTTTTTTTATTACTGAGAATATATTAGAATTTTGTTCTGGAATACAGGTGTGTTATGCTGCAATCATTCCTTACTTTAGGATCGTGCTCATAAAGTTGCTTCATGCCAACAGATCAGCATTATCTCTAGGACTAATTATTTTCCACTTCTGAGGCAAGATCATTTGAAGGTTTTGTGGGCTGCCTGATGAGAGCTGGCACCAGTCCTGCCCTGTGAGCACTGGTCCAGGTCCCCAACACTCTCATAAGGTTCTTTCCCAACCTCAAGTAGTTTTTACACACATGCACATACAGCACATACATGCACACACATGCATGTACATACATACACATGCACATAATATGTACATGCACACGCACACACATACATACATACACATACACACATATGCACACACGTACACACACATACACACATTCATACACACACATGCACATGTGCACACACACAGAGTTGGTTCCTTTCTGAGTGATCTATGAGATCCCTGAGTTCTCTCTGTACAGCTCTCTTCTCTGTGGTCTACTGTTCTGACCACCTTGGTTTCTCCAGTCCCTAGATTCCATCTATTTAATTCCAAAACTACTGGTCCTCTCTTATGTCTTTTCTCTCTGATGCAACCTGGGATCTCTCCCAAGGCATCACTCTGGGATTACTGGGGTGCTTATTTTATTTGTTCATCCTCTCTCAAGGATTAGTGGCTATTCACTGTTGCTATTGGCCAATATCTTGGAAAGTAGTGCGTGTGTGTACATGTGTGTGTGCACGTGTGTGCGTGCGTGCGTGTGTGTGTTTGTGTATTTCTAAATTGTTTGAGATGTCAGTCATTTTAGGTTAAGATGTAAAAGAGGCCCCTGTTATTCCACCTTTGCTGGAAGCAGAAGTCTTTAGATAGCCTTTTTCAGTAGCTTTCACATCAGTTCAGAAAACAGATTGATAACAGGATCCTCTAGCTATTGAATGCCTCTGTGTGCTAGGCACGGTGCTCATTCAGATATTATGTCAACGGAGCAGCTATCTGTGCAGTCCTAGGCACTGGAAATGCATCACTGCCCCAGAGTTTAAGACTGACTCTGGTAGTTGGAAAAGAATGGCCCCCATAGGCTCATATATTGGAGTGTTTCCACACCAGTAGAACCCTTTGAAAGAGAAAGTTTAGGAGGTGTAGCCTTATTGGAAGAATGTGTCAGCGGGGATGGGCTTTAAGTTTTCAAAAACCCAAACCCAGTGTCACTCTCTCAGCCTTTGGACCAAGATGTAGCTCATAGTTCCTGCTCCTGCCTGCCTGCCTGCCTGCCTGCCTGCCTGCCTGTCTGCCAGCATGCTCCCCACCATGATGGTAATGGACTAAGCCTCTGAAACTGAATGAGCTCCTATTTCAATGCTTCCTTTTATAAGAGTTGCCTTGGTCATTGTGATTCTTTACAGCAGTAGAACCATGGCTAAAACATCCTTATGGTTGTATCATGGGGGGGGAGGGGGAATAAGCAAAGGTAGTAATTTAGCTACATAACACAAAGGTTAATTACTGCTAGAGAAATCCACAAAGTAAGATAAAGATGGACAGAATGCTAATGCCGGACAGAGAAGGTATGACAATGGTTTTAAATAAGATGGTCAAGGAAGCCTGTCCTATAAAGGTAAGACACTTAACACAAAGACTTGAAGGAAGGGAAGATGTGAGCCACGTGGGTATCTGGAGGAGAGGTACTTAGAGCAGGAAGCCAGCACAGCGACTCTAAACAGAGCAACAGAGCCCTACAGGTGCTTTTAAAGCATCTATGGAGAAGCCACTAGAGCAAACAGAAAGGAGAGGGAGCAACAGAGGATGAAATCAAGCAGGCTTGATGGAATGGGGTCTGGTCTCCTATCACAGGGAGGTAGACAAGGTTTCTGATCTAATGTATGGAATGTGTGTGTGTGTGTGTGTGTGTGTGTGTGTGTGTATGGCTGTTTGTGTGTGGTGTGTGTACGTGTGTGTATGTGTGTGTGTGTGTGCATGTGTATATGGTTCTGTGTGTGTGTATGTGTGTGTGCATGTATGTGTGGCCATGTGTGGCATGTAAGTGTGTGTACACACATGGTCATGTGGGGTGTGTGTGTGGTGTGTGTGTGTGTATGTGTGTGTGGGGTGTGTGTGTGTATGTATGGCTCTCTGTGTGTGTATGTGTGTGTATGCATGTATGTGTGACCATGTGTAGTATGTATGCGTGTGTGCATACATGGCATGTGTGATGTGTGTTGTGTGTATGGCTGTATGTGTATGTGTATACATGCACATGTGGCCATGTGTGGTGTGTATGTGGTGTGTATGTGTGTGTATACATGGCCATGTGTGGTAAAGATGTGTGTGTATTCATGGCTGTGTATGCTAGTCTCTGCATGGAGAAAAGGTGCAAAGGTGTGTTGGTAGAGAACTGGAAGGAGCAGTTCTTTAAATAATGAAGTTGTCGGTCTTTCCAAGAGGGAAAGCTGACTAAGCAGATTTAGGAGACACCATTTCCAATATGCACTATGCAAACAGTACAACTTCAGGTGTTTTCTGAGGGTTCAGGGAAGTGGCCATCTGTCTCATCCCCATTTTATTGAAAACAGACAGAGCCTCTGGTTGAGTGATTGTGCAGACTCACACAGCCACTAATGGTCAGAACCAAGGTTTGAACCTATGTGTGTCTCTTGCACCAGAGCTAAATTCTAACTACACCACCACACTCTCTGCCTCATGGTTACAGTAAGAGGGACAGCCTGGGCTAAATTTCTTGAAAACCAAGGAAAGTGCCTCTTGAAAATGTTTTGTGGGTTATGTGGCCATGTAGGGTATTTTGGTGTCTTTTAGACTTGTCACACAGCCTCTGTGCTGATCCATAGCCGATTGCTGCTTAGTCCTGATCACTCTAGGTAGTCTTTGTTGAACCAGGAGTCTGAGGTGCCTCCAGAATCCAATATCCAATATCACCACAGGGTTCCATACCATTTGTTTTCTCTTTTGCTTTAGCAGTCACATATGAATTAGAAGCATCTAACTGTCATTGGCAAAAGGGTAAACTGCAAGTGATTTTAATACTTTCTGTCAAATATTATATTTATGATCTTTGAGAGATCTGTACTTTTTGTTTGTTGCTTTCTTTTTTTCTTTTCTTTGAAACAAGGTCTTGCTATGTAGCTCAGGTTAGCCTTGAACTCACAACCTTCTTCTGCCTACTAAATGGTGGGATTACACACATATGTTACTACCTCCAGCTACTGTGTTTTAAAGCATCTTGCTTGCATATAAACAAATAAACCCTGAGGACTCTCAAGTTTCTGATATGGGCTGAAGAGGCTCACCTTCCTCCATGTCCAGGAAAAGCTGATGGTACCAGGTACCAAAACCAAAGTAAACCTTTATCTTTATGGACTTGCTGGACTCCTGTGTCACTTGGCTGATCACAAGAGCTAATTTATAAAGCTTGTCCCTGTGTCGCACAAGGTAATCTTTTCCTCGAAAGCCTTCCCCTGTGTGTCTGGATGGCTCGCCAGGCTGTCCCTGTAACAGCAAGGCTGGAGTACAGCCCAGGGCCTGACACACAGTATACAGTAGGGGTTCAATAAGTGTGAGTCCAAACAAAAAAAATTGAGTTGACCACCTGGCCCTTGGCCTCCTTGGTACCATTTATGTCTATCAAAGTGTATGAGAAGTAGTTTTCCACTAACTAGGGTTTGGGTTTTGTTTTTGTTTTTTGTTTGTTTGTTTGTTTATTTTGTTTTTTTCAAGACAGGGTTTCTCTGTGGCTTTGGAGGCTGTCCTGGAACTAGCTCTTGTAGAAGATCAGGCTGGTCACGAACTCACAGAGATCCTTGTGCCTCTGCCTCCCGAGTGCTGGAATTAAAAGTGGGCGCCACCATTGCCTGGCATGTACTGACTAGGGTTAAGTCTCATTTTTGCACTCCAGGAAGACAGAAGAAATGAAAACCCCACCCAAATAAACAAATATAGTAGATCAGGTATGATTGATCGCTCAGTCCATCTCTAAACAAGCAAAGTAAAAAATAGCCTCAGCATCTTACTTTTAAAATACAGTACTACAAATCACAGTTTTGGTGTATGTAAGAGAAACATCCTTGAAAATATTTATTAGAGCTGGGCAGTGGTAGTGCACGCCTCTGATCCCAGCACTCGGGAGGCAGAGGCAGGTGGATCTCTGTGAGTTTGAGGCCAGCCTGGTCTACAGAGTGAGTTCCAGGACAGTCAGGGCTACACAGAGAAACCCTGTCTCACTCCCCCCCACACCAAATTATAATGACAGAAAACAGCTGTCATCTGTGAGCCCCTGGTTGGCTTCGTAAGTGTTGCTAGAATTTTCCAATGCATGCTATTAACCGTTATTATTAATGTGCAGTTTAACACCTGAGCCTCTTTTTGGGGTGCTGTCAGTAGGGTGAATTCTAAAGTGTGCTTAGAGGCCTGAGAACCTCCACATAGAGGCCTGCTGCCCTTTCTTTCCATCTTGCCATTTTGCTCATTGCGTCAATAAGACATGGCTGGCAAGAGGGGATGCACAGTAAATTTCACATGACTTGTTTGTTTTTAGACATTCATATTTCTTTATAAATTTGTGTTCCGGTTGGATGGAGAGTGTTTCGATTTCCGTTTTCCCTTCATTGTTGGGAAGGGTCATGAATCATTGTAACGACTGAGGTAAAGGTCTACTTTGTCTACAAAACCCTATAAAACCTAGCAAAAACTCGACTCTCCTGTTTCAGTAGAGAATTCGTCATTTTCTACATTTAAAGACAAAATAAAATACAGAAGACAGCTACATCCTAGGGTTTTTTATTATATCTTTTGAAATAATTTGTATATACCTTTTAAATAATTCCATGTGCCACAAAAAATAATGTTAATAGCACAAAATCAAAAGTTTAAAAAAAAATACCCTAAGTATAATTTTTAAAATCTTTTCCTCCTCAAGCGTTTTACGATGGGATAATGAGACAGATGTCTCTCAACTGGAAGGACATTTTGACATTGTTATGTGCGCTGACTGGTAAGTACATAAAAATCATAAAACTCCTGTTAGGGGGGGAAATGGCTTTGCCGGAGTAATTGGGCTGCACTGCTTTGCTGACGGCTAAGCAAAGTCAACAAATAAAGCACAAAGCCACCTTAACCTCAACAAATTAATATTCATCTCCATGTGACAGTTAGGAGGTAGTCTTCTATCACACAGTAACTTCTACCACATTATTTCCCAAAGATTGATTTTCAGAAGCATTTCCATTTTCTGGAATTGCCTCTGTTTCATGCTTGACGTACCAGTAAATGGACGACTTAGGCAAATTGCAAATAATTATGGCCCGGAGAGGAACAGTCTGGAGAAAAGGGAGTTTATCAACACAAACAGCTCAATTAGCTTACTTCTTGGGAGAGATCTGATATAAGGGATACACATGTGTACACACGTACATACTCTTTGGCAAATAAACATATCTGTGAAATACCGTGGGGGAAATAGCCTTCCTTAAAGTGTATTTGATGTCTAATGTTTCCAGCAGGCTCTGAGCTCACTCTTAGTGATTCAGAACACCAAGACTGCAAATCACATTTTGTTCTTATGCGAATAACATCCAAATCTGTGAGGTGTCTGATCTTTTTAAGTAAATTTACCCTAGATATTCTGTCTTTCACCTTAGCCCCATCTACTTATTTGTTAATGGGAGCCTGAGCCCTAGTTGCAGGATACATATGCATAGACCTTCATATTTATTCCAGCTAGTTTTGTGTCTTTCTTCGCTCAGCCTGAGTAGTTTTTTCAGTGTATGGAAAACATAGGCCATAAGCAAGTGTTCTCCCTGTCCAAGGTTAGAGCTTACTTGGAGTTTCCCCACCATCGTGATTACGTTAGATTTGAAAACAGTGAGTTCAAATTCTGACCTTCCTTCCGCTCCACTGATGAGCTGGATCCTAAGACCCAGAACCCAGGGTAGACTTCAGCCAGAAGAAATCAGATATGTTCTTCAGGAAGAAATTTTATCACTATTCAGATATAAGTTCCAGTGTCCAACCTTCCCACCAAGTCAATGGGATTAGGTTAGGTTTAGTGTTTTTGTTTTGTCTTTAAGGTAGGGTTTCTCTGGGTAACCCTGGCTGTCCTGGAACTCACTCTGTGGACCAGGCTGGCCAGGAACTCACAGAGATCTGACTGCCTCTATCTCCCAATTGTTTCAAAGGTGTATGCCACCACCACCCAGCAGATTTTTTTTTTTTTTATTCTCCCTCCTCCTATTAATATTATTTTCTTGGACTTTGCTGTAAACAGTAAGTATTATGTTCTACTTTTAGCAAAGTGTTAGCAGTTTTCCAGGGCCGTTCTAGTCTCCTTGCTCTAATTGCTAACCCCTCCCCCACCCTTTTTTTTTTTTTTTTTTACAAATACAAGAGAATCCCAATCTCTGGCTGATCAGTGACAACATGCCTACACTCCCCCATCAAAAAGGAGCTCAAACCAACCCACGTGGTTTAGCAAGTAATTTAGTAAATGCCCTTCCTCACTGAGCCCGAGAAAGGGTCCTCCAGGTTTCGCTGCCTAGGATGAAGATAATGCAGGCAGGATTAGATGAGATTAACATGAGAGTCAGACCAGAGAGTGGCAGCAAGATGACAACCAGGGGCAGTGTCTTCTGGAAGGTTCATGTGAGGGTCGCCCCTGATGCACTCTGATGATGTGAGAAAGGCAGGAATTGTCCTTCCCGAAAATATCAGAACAGCCTTTGTCATACTTGTATCATGGACACTCACACCATGTCATCTTATTTGTACCAGAGGAAGTAAGAGTTAAGCTCTTTCTGAATAATGTTCTCAGGTTAAAAATAGCTGCCCAACATAGTCGTTTCCCCATCCACCCACCTAACTGACAACAGGGTCTTGTGGAATTGATAAACATGGTGCATGTTCAGTTTAAGGGTTTCATTACAGATATATAACACAATGCAATCTTATACACACACATCTGGTGGCTGTGTAAGAATTATTTATGGAGTCAAATGAACTAAATACCCGAGGCTTCATTTTATAAATGGCTTTTCTATGCATGAATCGATGGTTAAGGTTTTTTTCCCCCTGGTGTTATAAGTGCCCGAATGTCAGCCTGTCTGTAATTTCCCATTTGTAAATGTAAAACATTAAGCTACTCTTTACGGTGACGCTGATATTATTTCCAGAAGAAATGCTTTGGTAATGGTCTCTCTTCATATTCACAGAGATGGCTAAGCCGCTTAGAAACTTTGAGAGTACAGTGATGTGCAATATCCATGCTGTATATCTGGCAGCATGAAACATAGGGTTCCACATATTCCCTACATCCAGTGGGTTTGGTGTTGCTCCATGGGAGTGTTACTGCCTGGGTGCTGCTTTTATGGGGCAGGCAGAGCGTGCTGAATTATTTAGGATGTCACAGAGGAGTGAAAGAAAGCTGCCTGTAGATGCTGCCTCCACTATGAAACTTAAAATATTCAATCCAGAAAGAAGTGCCGTGCTTAAATAGATCACGTTGTGTCTGGTACCACCCTTTATCATTGTCAGTCAGTGAGAGCTGGAGTGGGACCATATGAAGCATGAGGTGAAGGTTGAATATGAGGTACATGGATTAAACCCTTACTGAAGCATTTCCAGCAAGGGTGGCATTGTCTGGTTCACTGAATAGCTATCCTGTAGTACTTCTTGATCTCATTTACATGAAAACAAGCTCCATTCATTCACCTATCCCAAACCCACACTGTGGTTCAAGTAAAATGCGCATGATTATGGCAAGTGGTGATATGTTTATGTTCTTAAACCATTCATATATTCCTATATTTACATTCAAATGTTCATAAACCTGTGGGTGGTGGTGGTGGGGGATAACTCATTTCCCTTACTCCAGATCCAAATTTAGTCGCTCAACTAGATTGTAAAATAAAGAGGCAAACTGTGAAAGCTAGTTATTATTTCACTGTTCAGCATTTTCAACAATGAAAAGTAGTTTCATGGTTCAATAGTTCCTAAATAACTTGTACAATGTCAACTTAGAAATAAACAGAAAGAAACATGGAGGTACAGTCATACCTATTTTAAAAAGGGGGGGCTGTTGACAAACATCAAAATATTAGAATATTTGACCACAGGGATGGGGGGGGGGCTGCCCATTAAATTCTTCCATTGATGTATTCAGTGTTGAGTTTAAGGAAAGCATTCCTTTCTTCAGGGATGCGGTACATATGGCCCATCCTCGATATGTTATGAAGAGCAAGTCTTGCTAATCCTTAGCCTGCCTTTCCAGACTCTGGTTCAATCACACTCATAATCTGAGAATCTGGAAGTAGCTTCCATTCATCTCTACCATTTGATGGTTCTCCAGTTTATTGTAGTTCTGCAAATATGGAAATGACTTTGTGCATTTGAGTTCTCACAAAGCTTTTTTAAAAAAGATGTCTGAAATGCCACCCACTGCCTGACCCATGGACTTGGATGCATAGGACAGTCAGCACTTCTGTGAGTCCAAAGCTGAGGGCTTGGGAGAGGAACCAAAGCCAGTACATGGGCCTGTTACCCTGCTTCACAGGCCACCTCCCTTGTTCCCTCTGCACCTTTGCACCGATTGCATACTAAAGGTTGTTCCCTTTCCCAGTTCTTTTTTACTTCCTTCTAAATGATGGGGGTGGGGGGAAACTGTTTGGCTTTTAAGTCATTTTTAGGAAAAAGTTTTTTTTGTTTGTTTGTTTGTTTTGTTTTTTTTTTTCCTCCCTCAAAATGGAAGTACTATGGGCTCTGAAAGTACCCTGTTTTCCAGCTACTGTAATGACAGCCAGCCTAATCACAACTCACAATCCCTGCCCCCCCCCCCTCCGGAAAAGGTCTTTAGCGAGCACCAGTGTAATCAGCCCTTTCGCTTCAACTGGGGAGTAGGCCTCTGTGAAAATCGTTGAAGAGCCCAGAATTGCACAACTGAATGGGGCAAAAGCCAAGAGGTTAGAATGGGGCCTCCCTCCAAAACAGGTGCATGAATGCAGAGGGAGACTGCCCCTCTGTTGAAAGAGAGATCCGAAACAGCCAACCCCGTCAAGACTGCATAGGGTGGGGGGGGGGGATCTTCCTTCCGGTGCACATCGACAAGGAAGAGGCATCTGCTGCACTCTGTATGAACGAATGAATTTTTCCAAGAGGAGAGTGTTACAGGCTCCTAGCTCTGCAGACAGGGGATTCTTGAAGAGGTCACGAGGATTCAACACCTTCCCTTTGTCAGAAAATCTGATTCAGATCAGTGGAACAAAGTGATTGTTGCTGCTGCAGGCAATGACCTGGAGGAAGGAGCCTGAGTGTGAGAGAGCGTGTGCTTTAATGGCCAAACTGGACTGTCAAGGTATTTTGATCTGTAACTAAAGGGAGAGTTGAAAGGTATCTCCATCCCCATCACTGACCCACTCAGCCCTTTTTTAAATAGACCCACTTAAGCTGCTGCTGTTCTCCGAGCCATTAGGACTTATTTAAGGGGTGAATTTTCGGGAGATTACATATCACTCCCACTAAAGCACACTGAAATTGCTCATATGACGACGTAGCCTACAAAGCGTTATGAATTCTGCATGGAAGCTAAGTAGGAAAGTAAGCTTGCTTGGAATAAAGATCTTTTTTAGAGGACTACAAGAATTACTTTTGGGAAATTTGATTTGGAACGATGGGGTAGATGCCATTACCTTCAAAATGACTGTGTTTGGAATGTGTTCCGGGTGTTAAGCTGCACTTTGCCGTTTGCCGTGATGTTAACCACTTTGTCACCGTTACCAAGGCACAGTGTGGAAAGAACACTTTGTAAGGGCATGCTGGAGGCACAGCCGGCAACATGCTGTTCATCTTTTCCTAAGAGTGGCACCAGCTCTTAGAAAACTCAGAAATAAACCAAGAAGAGTCCTTGGCTTAGTTGCAGCTAGTCCAACCAGCCAGAGGTCTCTTGTAGGCCTACATGACCCCCAGAGTCAATATATCAACAATATCAAACTGCAGTTTCTATCCATCTAACCTCCCTAAAGAATAAGATGGGGTGTCCTGAAAAACAGGATTTGTGGAAGACTAGTTCCAACCTGATGTGTCCCTCGTCAATCTTTAATCATTTTGAATCTCTGCTTTAAGTTGACCTTTAAGTTGTGGGACATCTTTGTAGCATTTAAATTACACATAGTCTTTGCTCTAGGGTTTAAGGATGCAACTTTGTGAGCAATAATGCTTTCCTAGGTTATCCTGGTTGCTAGACAGAAATGAGGTTTATGCATAGTCAGGAGCTGAACAGAAGAGGACCCTGTTTCCATCGCTCAAAGCCCCTTTCCAGAGGAGGAGATAGAGCTAAGTGCTTGCTTAGCATCCTGGGTCTGGCCCCCAGATGTGTTGACTACTTTAGACTCAAGCCATCAGTCTCTCTTCCTCCCTCCTCCCCTCCGGCACTCTCTCCTTCCCTCAGACAGGGTAACCCAGGCTGGTCTCAAACTCATAATAGTCCTTTGACCTCAGCCCCCCAACTGCTGAGATGACAGGAATGTACCACCTTGCCCAACTCACGCTCCCCCTTCCCACAATGAAGCTCACCGAATTGGAGTGCACTTGTGTGGGCAAATGTTGATACAGCCCAACAGTGCCAGGCAAGGCCTGTGGCAAGCTGTTTCCAGTCACTGAGATGCACACTGGATGTAAACTTTCTCCATTTCAAGGACCACGGTGAGCTGCCTCAGGCAGTGAAGAAGCAATTCTGTGTACTCATGTTCTCAGCCATGAAGCATAAATGAAAGTTTCTCAGGAGTGGAGCTGGTCTATTTAAAGCTTAGCCCCAATGCCTATCACCTCTCATAGTTCATAAATATATGTTAATTTGATGTCCACCACAGCCACATAGATGGGCCGTTATTGACAAGAAAACTGAGGTCTTCTATGTACTGTGAGTTACCCAAGGTCACATAGAAAGGTCAAAGCCAGAACTTCATTAACCCTGAACCACACCCTGTTATCAGAGGGCAGGCAGTACTCACTGGTAGCCAAAAGGATTCCAAGACATGCCAGAACTGTACACATTTCAAAGATCCCAATGTGGCCTTCAGAAAGAAGTGGCCCCCACCAATTGTGGTGACAAAGTCCAGAGGCTTCATCTTGGCAGAGGGTTCCAGCTACCTTAGGAGGATCGCAGGGTGTGTGACAGTGACCTCCACTCTTGTGCCTCTAGTGCCAGGTGTTTCCACATCTCCATACCAAAACCCTGAGGGAATCCTTTGTTTGCTTGTCATAAACACTCAGGGATCTCAGTGCAATCTAGGCTGTTACAAGGGAATACACAGGCTGGACAGTTTATAAAGGACAGAAATATATGACTCAGAGCTTTACACTAGGAAACCCAAGATCAAAGTGCTGGTAGGTTTGGGATGGGATCTGAGCCTAATCTTTTCTTGTAGTGCCTTGAATGTTGAGTCTTCTAGCAGGGAGGGACCCTGTATCTTCTATGGCAGAAGAACAAAGTGGCACCCACCCAGCCATATTGCAGGTCAGGTCTGCAGCCCACAAATGTAGAGGGTTGCATTCAAACATAGCACTGCATAAGTTAGCATGCCACCAACTGCTAGCTGACCCAAACTTGAGTCTCCAACCCATCCATTTAGGTGAACCTGTTACAGAGTTGTTAGAGAAAAATGTAGTTCTAACAGGCTCAAAGTAACTCAACCATATAGATGCAAAAAACAAAAAACCGAAATACCCATACAGAAGTACTCTAAAGACCCAAGGAGCAAAAGCAAAATGAGAAATCCCAGTGGATAGGAAAGAATCAGTGTGGAGGTCAAGGGAAGAAACCCCTTGAATTACTACGCCTCTCACATCACTCCAGCTTTGCTTTGGAGGTTATTGGCTCCTGGGGCATTACTTGAGTCTTACCCTGGAACTGTTGGAAATCACTAAGGTCCAGGGTGGACCTTAACATTTCCAAAGTGGTTTGGGTACATGGGTCTGGTGGTTTGCTTTCAGAGGGTAGCCTCACAGTGGTCTGATGGGCAGGAAGGTCCAGGTCTACTGGAGCCAGTGATCTAACAAGAGAAAGTACCAAGTGTTCCGTCTCCACCAGATGACACTCACAAAAAAAAAAACATCTTGGAACCCGTCCCTGTGACATTAGCCCAGAAGAGTCAGGTATGGACCCTAATGTCGCCAGCTTGATATTCACTGGATAGTTCTGTTCCCAATATCTCCTTTGTAAATCACCCCCAGCAAGACCCTTGAATGGAAGGGAACAATCTTTCTCTGGTGTTGGATAAACGTGTAATTAGCCTTGTGCTGATCACCACTGGTATCATTAGGCTGGGAGACCCAGTTTAATCTGGATTCTTCTCTCTTCTCAATGTCAGCCTGTTCGTGGACCAGTACAGAGCCAGCCTTGTTGATGCAATAAAGAGATTACTCCGGCCCACAGTAAGTATGTTTCTATTTTCTCCTGAATACTAGCCACTGAATAATTAGTCTGCACACAAAGATGGGGAGAGTAATGGAATGGCAGGATTAATGTCATGTAATACTTTAAGATTTATTATGTCCAACTTCAATTGGGTCTTCTGATCTACTAGGTTCTTTCCTAATCATAACTAGGAAACTTCTTACCCTTGGCCTTCTGATAAGGAACACCATGGGTAGTAAAATAAATGAAACTGCTTCAAAGATAGTGTGAGATTATTTTTATCAAAGAATTTCTAGAGTCTTTCCCTTTGATAACAATATCTTCATATTAAAGTAGAATTATGATATTGAAATTTTTTCTGTTGACTTCTGTCATTTTAAATCCCTTCAGTGGTAACCTTTATCGGTGGGAATTTATTTGTTGCATAAGAATACTTTTTTCTTTTTATTTCTGTTTATATCAAAGAAAAAAAAGGACTTCCAGATGAATCCGTATATTAAAAGTTCTTTGCTTTAAAAGGAAGCCATTATTTACATATTATAAATATTAGGTCACAATGAAGCCAAGCATGGCATAAAATATTGTGCACATTTTTACATTTATATATCCATTTATGCCTGTGAGTAAATTACAGAGTTTGTATCCACTCTTATTTTTGTTGAGCTGTTATACTAGGCTAGGAGGTCCTGGAGACTAAACGGAGAGTTAATATACATCTATTTAAAGTAAGAAAACGAGTTTAAAGCTCATGCATTAAAAAAAAATATTGTAAGTATGTAAGACTCTTTGCTGTGCCACAGGAATTTAAAATAGGCTAATGGTCTTAGTGTAATCGAAGATAAGAACTTACAGTTATCTGATACGACTGGTGTGTGTGTGTGTGTGTGTGTGTGTGTGTGTGTGTGTGTGTTTTCTGAAGTTTTGTTTCTGAAGTCTTTTATAAAAGACTTTAGCCTTCTGACCTCGGTAAGACTTACAGACTAATACCTTTCAATCTTCCTTTTATATCTTTCTCACACTGAAGGTTCCCAGAGCAATTTGATAATCATCCACTGCCTTACACTATTGCTTTTTATTTTGTTATCTCTCTGTAGTTCAGAAACTTTAAATAGGCCTCTCAGAGGAGTAACCGCAGCTTTGTAAGTGGCAATCAATTCAATTAAATTGGCCTTCTCGATTCTGTTTGTGAAGTGGGAAGTAGGTCTTGAGGCAAGGAAGGGGCATGTGCCAAGCTGCTGCTGGCTGCTGGCTGCTGCCACATGGAGGAGGCCGCCCAAGTTGAGGGCAAGCAGAAGGAATACAGTGCCTCTCCTGGGCCTCTTCATCTCCCCCTGTTAGCCTTGGAGGATGCTTGCAGGCATCTGCAAGACCAGGAATCTTGGGGAGGGCACTGAGATGCTTGGATGCAGAGGCTCTATGAAAATGTCTCATACATAAACACAATGCTTTCAAGGACTCCCGGATCTCACACTGCACAAACAGTACTTCACTCATCACCAACACCCCCTTCAAAGCCTATTTGTGGCAAATACTCCATTTTGCAGCAGATTTGCATGATTTACAATAGGAAACTGCCCAAGCTATGAATAGACCTAAATGCAGATTGGACTGGAATCTCTCGAGACTCTCTGTACTGGCTGTTAAACCCTGAACCATGCTCTTCCCTGTGTGAAGTGTGGCTCCATGCAGCAGCCAGGACAGCAACCCACTGACTGACAGCCAGTTCTTAACCTTATGGCAGAGAAGGACAGGGCCAAGCCCCTGAGCCGGTGACACTTCCACATGCTGCGTGCGAGGCCAAGGCCAAACCCAGCCTGCAGCATTAGAAGTGGGAGCAGGGCACCTTACTAAGGCTTACTAAGAGATTGCTGACACTCAAGACCACTGAGTGTTGTAGTTTAAAGTTCAGGGGACCCGCTATCAGAGAGGAAGTCTGAATAATGAATGGCATATGGACTTACTGAAACCTCCGCTTGGAATCTCAGATCTGTGGAGGCAGGGGACTTGCACATCCTAGAAGGGTCACATGGACTAACCAGGCAATAAAGAATCCCGGTCACAACTTGAACTGGTGGGCCTGAAGGTTCCATGTAGTAGTAGGAAATCTTCTCTCTCATGGCTGGTTCTTACACTTCTAAAGGACTTCCCCCACTGAGCAGATGGTCGTCGTTCGAGACTAAGTTCACATGCAATGGCTACATTACAGTTAAAGCTAGGCATAGGCTTCTTTTGAGCCTAGACAGTTCCTCCATGGTCCTGTAGCCCCGGGTATGAAGGTTCTACACGTCCCCAAGGAAATGGCATAGGTGCTATGCTAGTGGACCTGACTGTTGGGTGGTTTTATGTAAGATACTGCAAATTCTCAGCTTCTGAGCAAGAGTCACCAAATGCTTCAAGTTTCCCAAAGGACCTTCGAGAAGAGAAAATATGATGGCTGGGAGGCATTAAAAAAAAAAAAAAAAAAAAAAAAAACCGGAGTCACTAGCCACCCAGATTGAGAATCCTCACCTTAAAAAGGCAGTGAGGGGGTATGGGGGGATATGCCTATAATCCCAGAATTCAAGAGTCTGAATTCATAACACAATTATGAATTCGAAGGCAGCCTGAACCCTGTGGTAAGTTCAAGGCCTGGATAGACTATATAACAAGGCAGTAAGCCTCTGTGATGACAGCTGGCCTTTGCTATTGCTCTACCAGCTTGCTGAGGTTAATATAGGACACAGTGGTCCTAAGAAGAAATGGCAGGCTGACTGATGGTAGGCAGATCCAGTTCAGCACAGTCTCTGAAGCCTCCCGTTTGACCATCCAGACCCTCCCACACACACACACACTGTGGGGGGAAAGTGCAAGTTTGCCCACACTCATGTAGCAACAACCCTAAGTTGTACTTACCAGGGTAGGCACAGTTAGGCTCTGGAAACGGAAAGCATGGGACGGGCTCACATCTGGCCTGTGTCACTGCAGGTTTCATCCTCTAGAAACCTCAGTTTCTCCCCAGTCTCTTCTCTGAAAAATGAGAGAAGCCAGTTCAGTGTGGTGCAGTGCCTGTGAGTGCCTGTCCCCCTTCGGAAGACTTAGAGACTTTCTGACTGTGGCAGGGACACAGTCAGGAGGCGCTTTCCAAGCCCATGGAGAAATGCTGGCAGAAAGAAAGACTATTCTCCTGATACAGAGGGACTGCGGGGACTTCTGTGGGTAACCATCTGCACCTGCTGCTTTCCTCTGAGGCCCCCAGTACATCAGAACCTGAGGGGTTCCAGGGAGACCACCTGCTGAGTGATGGTGACACTTTTTATACACACAGTCCTGCTGGGTAGGAAGAGAGCCAGGACCATGTCAGTGAGAGTTAAATAATTGCAGCCTGAAGGTTTGGGGGTCAGGCCCTGGGAAGGATCAAAGTCTGTACTTTTGTGTTGTGTGTTTTATTTGATTTCTAACTCAGCCAAATCAGCTGGGATCACAGGATCTAAAAAACAGGTAAAACAGACAAAGAGGAAGTCTTTGCCAGCTTTTTTGTTTTTATGATGAAGGAGCCATAAATGAGGGGAAATAGAGAGAGCCTGGGCTCCCAGGGGCCCCTGGCTTGTCCCAGTAGCAATGTCAGATCCTGAGGCTGACCTCAGGCCCTCTCCCAAATAGTCCCAGAGCCTGGAGAGTCACCACACCAGGCCCCAGGTTCCATCAAGGAATAAAAAAAGTTCACCATCCTGAAAGGGACATTTTCCTCAACTCTAGGAAAACTACATACACAGTTGGCTTCTGTCAGAGTGATATGAGGAACTCTCTAAGAATAGAGATACATTTAAAAAACAACAACAAAACTGCCTTGAACCACCCCCTCCCAAAACCCCTGAAATCAGTACATTTTACTCATCCTAAGAAGCAACATCCCCCCACTTCTCTTTCCCCTGGTGATAAGTGGTTTCTTGTTGCTAATGATTGATGGGGTGACTGCTCATGGCCATGTTCCCTAAAGTCTGTGACAACAGCCATGTCCTATATCAGAAGACCCGAAAGCAATTTAAAATCTGGCCATAGCGGCCTGCAGGCTGAACAGCAATGACAAACAGCAAATGACATCTGCTAATATTCCTCTAAAGTGGCTATGTGTCCCAGAGGGAAGCCAGGCCTGCTAGGCAGTGGGAGCTTACGAAAGACTACAAGGAGGCAGGCCAGACTGCAGTGCAGACATCACTCCAGCCAATTGTCACCACCTGCCAATTGTCCACAGCTCAGGAATATCACTGTGGCCAGTGAGATGGCTCAGCAGGTAAAAGGGCCTGTCATGCAAGCCTGCTAACCTGAGTTCAGTCCCCCAAAGCCACCATGGAAAGAAAGATCCAGAAAGTTGTCTTCTAACCCCAACATGTGCACTCACACACAGACATGTGCTGGAGTGCACACACAAGAATAGTAATAGCAATTAAAAATAATCCTTTACGTGCCACTGTGCAATGAATATAACCGGGCCCTAGAAGTCACAAGATTCTAGGAGCCCTGCCTATGACCAGGGAGCCCTGTAGTTAGGAACCATCAGCCTCCATTTTAGAAGAGCAATTTCTTATTGACTGACTTCCTCATCCTTCTGTTAATTCTAACACCTCTGTTTACACCTGTGCGGACATATATTTTTTTGTTTGCTTGTTTTGTTTTGATTTTGCATCTCAGGAAAATTGTCATGTAGGAGTGGCTCCATGTGGTGACTGAAGCCAGGGTGAAAACCACTTGGGTTCCTCCTGCTGGCCAGGTCCACAACCCATCGAATCCCCACCAGCTCTTGGTGCAAAGCTGTTCAGCCATCCCTTGTTGATCCTGCTGGTATAAATGGGATGTAACAATAGAGAACTTCTAGAAGGCTTTAAGGCCCTCAGAACACAAGCCCAGCCCTGGGAAGTTCTTTCCTAAGGGTCTTGGGTGCCTGTTTCAGTACCAAGGTACATATGCAGTACTGTGTGCTCTTCATGAGGAAGCAAGATCTGAGGTAGGTAGATCTGTTTGTGAAGATGTTTATTCTACA